CGGGACTAAAAAAAAGCGTCCACACAGCCTCGACCCGAACAACTTTTTTTTTTTTTTTTCAACAAGAGAAATAAGCGGGGACAAAAAAGAGAAATACAAGCGCCCTCGATCGCACCACTTCCAACGCAACGTGCGTCGCCGATCTCACATATCGGACTCGGACGCGGTAGTGCGAGCTCAAATCGCTATGGGCAAGTTTCTAGCGAAGAGAGACGGACCAAGCAACCACCATCCTCATCATTAAACTCTGATGATGCTCGTCTAGTAAGTCTATTTGTTTCATCTCTTGAGAATAATTTGTTGCAACCATGGACTAATGTGATGAATAATTACTTAGACCAGGTAGCAAATAGGATGCAACAAGATGATGAAAGTATCAAGTATTATCAAGATTGTTTTTCTTCTATCAATACTAGTTGTAGAGAATTGTATAAGCGAGTAGGACCTGAAATCAAAGATCTCAGAAAAGTTTTAGTTGATCTTTTAGCACATTTAGAAATGCAACACACGTCTTCTGTCCAAGAAAGTGAGATCAAACACAGTGAGATTTTAGATCTATTGAGACTTCAAAATGTGAGCCTAGACAACCAGTCTATAAGAGAACTTAGTGAAGTATTGAGTAATAAGATTGAGAGTAAAATTGATATGAGGCTTGATCAAATATTTGAGACAAAGAAAGGAATCAATATTCCTGATAATAATGATATTGATCATATTATTGAAAGGAAACTCAAAGAAAAGCTAGATGCTCAGTTTGATAAGTTTTTTGACCGGATTAGTGAGAAGATGGAATCCTGCATCAGTACAATACCCGAATCGCTCCGAAACGATATGAAATTTGGTCCATTTTCATATCGTTTCGGAGTGGGCGCTATGAATCGCTCCGCTCCGAGATCGCTATGAAAATGGAAAAAATCCTTGCCAGGTATCGGAGCGGAGGAATTGATCAATTCCCGCTACATAGCGCACTTAGCGGTGATGTAGGAAGACCAAACAAAAATTTTGTATTTCAAATATATTTGTACGTGACCATAGGGCTAGATACGTAGGAGAGTAGGACGTGTTTTCATAGAGACATCAGAAGCAAGAGAAACATGTATAATAAGAAAACTCAGAGTCAAGGTGAGACTTGAGTCACTTTAAGGAAGGAACACGTGTAAGAAATGAAATTGTATAAAAAGAAATTCTTTCGATGAAAGTAAATTGATGGACCTATCGGGTCATCTTTCCCGATGATTGCTTCTTTACCAATGCTTGCATATAAGATTGAAGCGCTTTGGCAGCTTCTTCAAACACCCCATCAGGGACGATTCCCTCCTTCAACCACGCTTGAGATCCAACAAGTCGCTCCATAGTTTTTGAGAGCATACTGCCTCTTGAAGGTGTACACACATCGGCAGCGGCTGAAAAAGTCCGCTCGCATGCACATGATGTGGCGGAAATCGCTAAGTAATTGCGAGCAATTGACGAGAGGATAGGGAAGTGGGTTTCGTGTTCCTATTGGTCATAAAGTAGGTTAGTATCCTCAGAAAGGGTGAGAAATAAGATAAGGATGGGACATACCTTCCACCATTGCAGAGGAGTTTCACCTTTACCGATCGGGAATTTACCAGATAAGTAATCTTCCAGCTCTGAAGTCGGATTCTTACTGGGACCGGTGTCAGATGTTCTAAACACATCAAAGTCATCGGACTCTGAGACTGTAGGCTCGTTAGTATCTTCTGGTGGTGGGGTTGGCTCGTGACGGTGAATGTTGATCTCATCAATGGCAGATTTGAAGGCATCCTCAATAAGCAGCTGCGATGACTCTTCGTGATCTGGATAATGAAGGTTGAAGAACTTGACTCGAAAGCGAGTGTTGACGATGGTTGCCAGGGCTATCGCGTCACAGTTGGCCGCCTCGTCTTGATATTCGGTCAGCCACTTGACCATGACATCGATGGCCTTGTCAAGAGAAGGGAAAATGAAAGCTTCGTTTTGAATATCGAGGAGTTCTTTGATTACGCGCTTATATTCAGCCAAGAGGATGCAGCCAGTAGGCCCATCCCCTTCTACTCGAGCTGTAGCATCAACAAAAGTCTGCCCATCCAAAGCGGTCAGATCAGTCAGTCAATGAACAAAACATTATAACCAAACTTTTGAAGGAAAACTTACCTTCAAAACCTTGTTTACCATTTCGACAGCATGCCACTCTGAAGCTGAGATTGTGACACCTTTAAAAAAACACGCCTTTCTATCGGCAGCAATCATCGAATTGATTACCTGCAAGGAAAAAGATGGATTTTGAGTGATTCGAAATGAAAAATTAAATTCAACTTTGAAATAAAAAGAGACTGACCTCCTGTGCCTCACATGCTATCTTTCGACTCTCATAGTGACTGTTCCATCGCGTTTTGCATGGCCTTTTCAACATTCGGCCATTGTATCCCATTCGAGTGGCACGTGTTTTAAAGTCGTTTCTTCGGGCGGCACTACTGGCAATCTGTCCAGAGACAGCGTCAACCTACATAATAAACATGATAAGCATCGATCAACTATGAGATTGATTCCAGAGAGGGATACTGACCTTGTGAAGTGCGGCTGCGACGAGATCATCTTTATCACAAGGTGATAAAGATGAGTCATCAATTATATTGTCTTCGTCATCAACACCGTCAGTGTACTCAGGCAATCCTTCATCGCCCTCGGATTCGGTGTCAGAAGCATGGAACTCGATGTTGTCTTTGCCATCGTTG